AGAAGCACTAGGGCGCTGTTCACTTGGAATGTTATTTGAGAATAAAACGGTTTGTTTTTGTGTTATTCGTTTAGCGCAAAAGCTGCACAATCCCGATTGCCGCTGAACTCTGGGGCCCATGATCCTAATATTTAAACAATTATCCCACCTCTCATTTTCTGTGACTGGCTTTTCAGTCCTTTTGCCTTTGAATGTGGCTGTTCATAACCATTTGACCACCCCTAATTCAGTGTTTAAAAGATTACTGTTATCCGTCATATGTGGCGATGCTAGCCGAGCTACAGTCTCGATTTATGTCCACTGTATACTGTAAATTACTTTGCCTGTCAAAACACTACATGTGTTGTTTGATTTTGCTAGTAAAAAAAATACATTCTCATTCACTTTGTAACAGAGGGCAGTGGCTGAACTGCAAACGACTTTGCTTTCTCATTAAATGCTTATTTGTTTAGCGTTCCCTGACATTGATGCAGGACTTTAAATCAGATCTAAGAGCGCCCGCTTTGCTCCAGCATCTGATAAATGCTGTGTACAGCGGGCCCACGAAATGTAGCTCCAGGAGTCGCTGACCATTTAGTGATAGGCTAATCTTAAAGCAAATCTGTGCACGCCGTCCTATGTTACCTGATAAGAAACAATATAATTAACTTGAAACTCGAGGCTCTTAAACTAAAGCACAATAGAGTCACGAGGAGGTTATACCTTGAGGTTTCTTTTTTAAGAATTACAATTTCTGTCACACATAATTGCTTGTTAATTGTGCGACTTATATTGCAACAGTTTATTCTAAAGGGGAATAAATGATATACTAATTCTGATGTTGAAAAGCACACCAACCAGGCTTTAGTCTTCTAATTTGAGTTTGCACCCTGCAAAACTAAATGCAGTGTTCTTAGGTTGTGCTTCCAAAAGGCTTATCTGACAAGAATATAAACTGGATGAAAACAAACTTAATTACCATGCAGTGTGGGGGATGTTTGAAGCTGCAAAAAAAAAAATTCCTTTTCACATCTTCTGCTAACGGGAAACGGAGTTTATCTTTTTTTTTTGAGAGCGCTTTGTTGGATGTGGCAGAGCAGTAGAGCTAATTTATGGGTCAATATAAACTTCCATCACCAAAGACTGAGGCTGATAGCAGTGCCCGCCTGCAGCAGATGAGTTATAGAAGCAGACCCTCTAAATCATAAGCGCCAAACATATGGGACAGAGGAGAAAACGCAGCAGAAAATCATACAGGGTCAACAAATGCTCATAAAGTGTTCACATTAACATTAGTTTTTTCCATGAACGAGTATTTAAAGGCTTTGCTCACATTTCCCGCCGCCTTTGTTGAAAACCTGACCATGCCGTCAATAATAAATCTGTCTTGAACAGCATTGGGTTAAATGCATCACTGCCTGCAGTAATTACAACAGTGGAATCACTCTGGGGCTGCGCCGGGTGAAAAGACAATGTAACAAGACGATAGTTTAAGGTAATTAGCGGCGGCCATTAAAAGCATCATTTACATTACTAACAAGATGCGGTAAATTTGATCTAAACCACAGTGTGAATACAGAAAACCCACCACAGGGGTAAGTGGGGGGGGGGGGGAGAGTCAGATTACTGATGTTATGGATCAAATGTTTTTTCTGTTAACTCCTCGAAACAGTAGATGTTGAAATAACACTTACCCGTCATTGTAAAAGCCTTTTTTTGTAGTCTTTTTCATTATAAATAAATAAAAACACACCCTTCTGCTTCCATTGGAGGCCAAGAAGTGAGGAATTGAGTCCTCAGTCATATTGTGAACGTTTAAAGCATTGTATTCATCATCTGGTGACCTTCTGAGCACAGGTGTTATTAATAGCCTTAATTATTGGCATGGCTTAACATAGACATCATTAATGTTATTGATTACACCCGTGCTTTCCCTACTATAAATTGTCTTGAAAAATGTCTATTACAGCACCTAATTTATGTAAATTAAAACATGGTCTAATCCCAGGTGCCTTTTTTTCCCCATTATAGAAGTTTAAGAATCTAAGATTAAGTAGATGGGGGATCATACATCTGATTAAATTGTAATTCCATTACAAAAATAAATCAAGGTTCAGTAGGTCATTGGTGAAGTACGACCTTCTCTTTTGAGCAGCGAAAGACCCTGCTCATGAATGACTGAAAAGTGTTGAGGAGAATTGGCTTCGTTTAGTTCAAATGATACTCCTGTCTGTAATATTGCCAGAGATAAGACAGGGGTTTTGACCAGGGTCTACAGACAATTATGACCAGATTACTTACAAAATATGAATTCTAATGCACATTTTGGAGTTATAAGAAACACTTTTTTCCATTTTGAGGCAGATTTTTGGACATTTATCTATGGAAGAACATTCAGACATTAGAGATAATAATTTCCTCAGCCACTGTAGGCCAAATTAAATCGGAAAGTATGTGCAATATGTCCCTGTGTTCGCATTTGATCGGGAGTTATTACTCTCCCTCTTCACCCCGACTTCAAATCTCCAGCGTCCCCCTGTGGAATTGCCCCTCTGGTCCAAAAACTCCCAACAGTGGATATGATGCTGAAACAATTCTCAGTTTCTCTTTTGATTAACAGATTCTGCTCACATATTTGTTTCAGCCTTTTATTCAAATGCTCAATGTTGTGCCATCTGTGGTATCAATTAACAAACACAACAAAACTGCACTGTGTACAGCAGGACTGTGTTTGAGATGGGATCAGTCTTTCAGTTGTTTACACCATTGGCCACCGTTAGTCATTGCATACAACACACACACACACATTTTAGTTCTGCAATGTTTGGCAAACATTTTCCATCACATATTGACTATGTTCAATTACTCCTCTGCTAAATGGTAGGTTTACTGCACATACATTGCAACTCCATGACAGTTTCATTGCAAAACTTGTATTATGGTAGCTATCGAAACGCAAAATATATCAGGCACCGAGCAACCTCATTTCAACTCTCGGTGGCAATGATTTTACCCAGGGCGACTGCGGGGAATTACTCATTGTTGTGTGTCTGAAGGAATTGATGTGTATTGGTTATTCCACCCAGTGTAAATAGAGAAAGAGCCTGTCAATGCCCTCATAGAGATGGGAACACACGAAGAGAGTCAAATATAAAATTATCTTTACTCGTCTTTTAGTGCAGACGAAAACAGGGCTAATCTAGTAAAACAACCATATCTTTCAACCTTTCCATCTGATATTAAAACAGTGACTCGAAGCTATTCAAGCAAAAAATAATCCATTCAATATAGCATGAAAAAGGTCACCAAAAGAGAATATGCAAAGGGCTGATTTGCGGGGGAAATACAAACTTAATCCGCCTTCACAATCTTTCAAAAAGTGTGTCTCTGTCTGTCTTTCAGCTAAGGAAGAATGAAAACAAATATACTAAAACATTATTTATTTAAAAAGCCATATATTTTTAATTAGTTCCTCATTTAAAAGCAGTAACTATACTATTATTTAGTGTTAAATAATCATTGTGTTTTGTGAGTTATTACATTTTTTGGTACTATTAATACATTTTCAAGTCAAATGTAAATGCCTGACTGGAACAGAGTACACTGTTTTTGCTAATGCTTGTATCACTAAATCTGAATCCACCTTCCACCATTGAAAGTATCCATTTAGTGTTAAGCCCAATTCAAGACACTTCATGTTAAAATAAATGTTATAAAAATTTGCTCCGGTGTGAACGCACCTTATATTATGTCCCAGTGGTTCCTCTAACACTGAATAGGTGTAATGAGTCCGGCTGCCTTCAAGGGCTTGTAACAATAAAAGAAGCCGTAATTAGTCTTGCAGAGTTTCACTGCAGCGTTTTAGTGTCCCGTGTTGGCCACTAAAAGCTCTCCAATGAGTTTTTGGACTTTTATTTTTTTTGCCTGGAAGGGTGTAAAGCCTTTTTCTGCAGTTTTATTGGAGGAAGCTGCAGATATTTTTCGGTGGGAAACGCGACAAATTGGTACGTTTTTAATGCAACCTATTAGCTTTTAGTTACTAAATATGATATGTAAAAACCAACTGGGACAATGATGGCGACAATGGTGAAGAAGGCTTCCCGTGAGGCCACAGTAGTATGTGATAGATGAGGTTGGAGGTGTCGGGTATTTAAATACCGTCGACTGCGTTTAATTGCATATTCATTCAGTCAATGTTTGCAGAATTGTGCTGATTCAATGTTGATTAGTCAAGGCCTGCTGTGTCATTGCTTTGGCTATCACTCATTGAGGCATGACAGGCAAAGTACGAATGAAAGGTAAACAATAAGAAAATACATAATAGGAAAAGGAATGGGGAAAAAACGAAGAAAAAGGTGCAAAAGTCTAGAGAAATTGAACACATTATTTGCAGCAGATGTTTTGATGTGCAACACTCTGCATTATGTGGTCACGTATTGCTTACTCAGAGTTAATACTTTTTATAAAATGTGCTTTGGCAATACTGTGATTTGATACGGTCATGGCAATAAAGCTTCTTTGAATTGAATTGAATTAAGTACGTTCATAGAGTAGCTGATCAATGAGTGCAGTCTCAGCCTGAAGAAAAGGGAAGATAAAAGAAAAGCCAAGCCACAAACACCCCTGACCCCTGATTACAGCTCTGGATAAACACACAGAGCCAAACTAAGAAATTAATGAATGGCCTTTTCAAAGCCACTGAGCAGAACGGAGAAAAGCGCAGCGTATTGACCAATGTGCGCACGGCCTTGGACACGTAGAATGAAAAACACTTCATTTTGAGTACACGAGTGGCACAGCCTTGTAAAATAGGAGGGTGGCGGGAATAAAAAATACACAGCCTTGGACTAAATTAAATGAACGTGGATTTAAAGCTGTGGGGGGAAAGCATTTAGACGGAAGTGGAAGAATCTCTCAAGGAAAATGACAGAAGGAGAGACGCTGAATATAAACACACACACACACACACATCTGCAACAATACAAAAGCATACAGTTTGACAGATACAGACGGACACTGACCTGTGAGCACGGCCTTGGCGGAGGGTTCAGCCAGGTCCAGGGCGGACTTGCCGTCGGTGTTGCGGATGTTGGGGTCGGCTCCATGCTGCAGCAACACTGTACAACAACAGGGCAGACACAGACAGTAGCTGAGCTCCTGGACTGACATGCAAACTCCCCGACACACAACCCCTCCTAGTCCTCCTCCTCCTGCTCCATAAACTGCTCTTCCTGGACCTCCTCCTCCTTTTTCTCCCACTTGCTCCTCTGCATGTCCTGCTTCACATGTCTCTCCTCCTCCTCCTCCCCCGGCTGCTCCACCTCTGTTGCTAGCGCCGCTCTCCGGGCTGCCCCTGGCCGCCCCTGCCCTGCGAGCCATGCTGCTGATGTAAACAGACATGCCACAACAAGAGCAGCGGAAGCTACGCTACAGCAGCGCCGGATAAACAGCGGACCGTACAAAAAGCTGCTACGTGACCAGCTACAAAACACATCACACCTCCACGGAGAAGCGGGGGAAGGCTACATGTATACAGTTAAGCTGAGAACATGAAAACAGAGGGAGAGGCGAGGGGCTACAGCTGATCGAGGAAGAAGAAGCAGAAGCAGAGCTGAGGAGGGCAGGCAGTGCGAGTGGAGAGACTCTCGCCTCCCCGACTGACTGAGCGATGCAGCGGAGAGCAAGATGAGAGAGGAGAGGGAAGGGGAGGGGAGGGAGAAAGAGAGTCAGGGAGGATGGAAGAGGTAGAGGACGAAAAGAGGGGAGGGAGAGCAAAACAAAACAAGAGTGTGATAGAGAGGAGAGAAAGGGCAGTGAATAGTGAAAACAGAGGAGAAGAGAAAAGAAGAAATGTTAAGAGGTGACGAAAGAAGAGATGAGAGGAGAGATTAAAGAAGGAGAAAGGAAAGGGAAAGGAAGGAACGAGGAGAGGAAGGGAAAGGAAAGAATAGAAGATGACAGGAGAAGAGAAGAAAGAGAGGATAGGAAATGAAAAAAGAAGAAGAAAGAAATAGAGAGGAGATGAGAAGGGAAATGGGTGGAGAGGATGAAAAGAAAGAAGAGTAGAGGAAAAGGCAGAAGAGGAGAGGGCAGAGTCATGCGAGTGCTGAACAGGTATGAGCTGAATAACAAACTCTGCCTCGCTCAGTTTTTTTGTAAATTAGCTCTTTTGAGGGCGCTAATGTCAACACTCACTGCATCTCTCTGTGTAATGTCCCACTACTGTGATTGCTGAGCAGCTCCCAGAGCACACGCCCTTTGATTTGTGTACCTCACACTACCCGGCAGAGAAGAGGAGGATAAGCAGGGCGTGTGTGTAAGTATGCGCACGTGCATGCTCATGTGTCCCAGCACTGACACAGACCTTAGTCACCCACTCGCTCACCCCTCAGCAAAAAAAATATGTTTTAGTGCTGTGACACACACACACACACACACACACACACACACACAACACACCACACACACACACACACACACACACACACACACACACACACACACACACACACACACACACACACACACACACACACACACACACACACACACACACACACACACACACACACACACACACACACACACACACACACACACACACACACACACACACACACACACACACACACACACACCACACCACACACACACACACACACACACCCACACACACACACACACACACACACACACACACACACACACCACACACACACACACACACACACACACACACACACAGCTGTCAACCTCTAATCGTCAGCCTTCAGTTTGGTCCCTAATGGGCACAGCTTGTCAGTAATACCTGCACAAGCCCTCTCTGAACAACCTAAATCCCCCTTTTGGACAGGATTAGTTTTCAGGACAATGTCAGATTTGCAACAGTTATCTCATGACTGTCTGAAAATGACCAAATGTTCAGTAACTAACAAGTAGGACATCCTCATACAGCAAGAGAGACACCTTTTCTCAGCCTGTTTAATCTGAGGTTAGATGTGTTTAGTGCCTTTTGCCAGTTTTACACAAGCAAGCATTTAAGCTAAAAGCTGCAGGCAAGTACGTGGGCAAATGTCAAACCTCCACCTCCATAACAAAGAAAAGGAAATTATTTTTTCCTGAGCTGTAACGGTTAGAAAAGTAAAACAGAGAGCAGAAATGCAACCCTACTAAATGAATCCATGAAACGTCTAAAACTGACAGGCGTCTACACCTAATATCACATAATATGATAAGGCTATAAATCGATCAATAGAAATAATGGACAATGATTTTGATACCCGACACATTTCTTTTAGTTATTTATCCAGGGAAAAGCAACGACTGCTCTCAGGCATCGGAGTAGTACATTCATTACCTCGCCATGGACGTTTTGTTTTGCCGGATTTGTGATACATTATATTACATTTCATTTAGCTGACGCTTTTATCCAAAGCGACTTACAATTACCAATTACAGGGACATTCTCCCTGGAGTAACTAAGGGCTAAGTGCCTTACTCAAGGGCACACTAGTGGTGGTGTTCCTGGCGGGATTTGAACTCACAACCTTCCGATCTTCAGCCCACCTCACTATCCATTAGACCACCACTATCCCTGATAATTGGTGGAAGGATGTAGCATTGGCAAAGATAGAACCCATTACACTTTGGGTTGTCAGTTGTACAACTGTCAGTCTGACTCCTGTGGTCCTGAGCTGCCTGTCCCTACTTTGCCCTTCTACACACCTGTTCTGAATCAGCCTCGTTAGTCTTCCCAGTGTTTTTCTCCAGCCAATCAGCACCCTGATGCTTCTCCTGCCTAATCACCTCATTCCCCTCATCTGAGTTTATCCCTCCATCTCTACTCCATGATCCCGACAGTCTAAACTATTTGAAAGCTTATTCTTTCCCAACATGTTTTCCTTTTTCTCCAATGAAAACGTTGTAGTAGTGATACTGATCATGATACGATGGTGGTGAACCTCCAATGTTCCTAAAAATGGCTACTAGAAGCGTATCTTAGGTCCTATATCTTGTGTCATGCAGGGTTAAAAAAACATGTACATAAAAAAAAGTGACTATTACCAAGGTTGAAACTAAATGTTGCTGTTGGGTCCAGTGTACCCTTTGCTTAAGGAGTTAAAAAAAAGGACGCATTGAACCACAATTCCTTAGCATTTGGAGAAGTCAACTAATACTTAGCATCGTGGTAATTAGACTCAGTAAGGACATTTTGAAAGGGAAAAATACAATGAAGACCTTAGACTGGAGAACGATAAATTGCACATTTCACAGATAATATTTAATCCAACAAATAAGGGCAATCATTAAAATAAATTGTTGGTATCTTATTGAACTCATACATGCAACTGTCTTAACCTGCCACACAACAGATGTCTAAGTTCATTTGAAACCCATGGACAAGGCATCTCAAATTCAAATCAATTGAAGCAAATACATTTATGAATTCAAAATAAATGTCATTCAGGAAAGGGTGGAATTTCAGGAGTCTATGATCATAACAACAACCAGTCAAAAGGAGCTGAGGCGTTGGAATTGAGGACACAGTTAAACGGACTACTAAACTGATTGTCACGGAGGCGGTGGGTTCTTAAACTCCCCTCTCCAGCCAATCAGGTGGCTGCTTTCGGATTTCCAAGATCTTCTTATCCCAAGTTTGTTGATGAGATTTTGAAGGGATGAGGTAATGAGAGATTAATTTCCTACTCAAGTTGTCTGAGCACCAAAGAAGAGGACAGAGCATCCTTCATGCTGAGCTGAAGTTACAGTCGAATCAGACTCTTGTTCTGCTGCCAAATCTCTAACCTGGCAGGGTGACAGGCTTCCAAAACTCTGTCCAATAAACAAGCCGCTAGAGGTCATGTGCTTTTTGTTTACATGCATTGGTATGCCTGTAACTGTGCAGTCAAGGGACACCATACTAAACATGAAAAAAGTAGGTTTTTCCTTTTCCGATTAACATTAAACAAAAAAAAATGCTTTAACAGAATCTTAAATAGTGTTTGGACAAAAAAAAAAAATGTGTGTGTGATTTTGAAAGCCCATCTAAATGGTTTAACTTGTTTTTTTATTTTATAGTACACCATAAAATAAACTGTCAGCCCCACAGCAAAATAACCCAAGGAGGATATTAAGTCTTATTTATATTTTGTTTTTTTACGGTTGTATGGTAATGCAGACAAAATGCCCTCCTGCTGCTGCAGTGAAAAAGTCTCGCATCCAAGACTTGAGAAAAATGATAGAAGTATTTTTCAGTTCATGCCAGAGGGAAGCTAAATGCGTTTCTTCAGAAAGGGAGTAGTGAAGGTGCCGGCTTTCACAAATTGGTGATGTAACCTGAAAATATTTGCTTTTTGAACTGGTTGCGATTCATCATCGTTTTGCTTCACAAAATGTGTTTGGCTGTGTAATTCAGAGGGAGGCAGCGCTCCGACATGACAGCGCTTGGTCATGCTTACTGCTGGGTTTACAGGAGCAGTGCGTGACGACAGTTGGAGATGTCTCAGTCCTGAGCTCCAGAATGGCACCATAACATTGTTGTATCATGCAACCAAACAGTGACACAGTTAGTGGAGTGTTTGGATAAGTAGTCAACATCCTCGGCATGACCTGCTGTCTCTGAAGCCTGCTGAATGTACTTTCAAGAGGATGAGTATAATCCAAGGGCATTGTGGTACTTTTTATCCTTAGTCCCCTTACTAGATCCACCAAACTTTCTTAAAATCACAAAAGTGATGTAGTAACTTGCTCCTTTTTGGCCTGATGACGGCCAATCTCACATAAGAAACTGCAAGTTTGTGAGTTTCGATCATAAGGATATATTCAACACCTATACAAATTGCAAATTGCCTGTTGTGCTCCATTTGTGGGAAGGATTTATCATGAAAGTAGCAAGAAGAAGGGCTTAACACTTCAAATGCTTAAAGAAATCAGGATAAACTTTAGCGTTGTCATTAGAGGACACAAAACACATTGAAAGTATTCATACAGCCCCAAACGACATGTCATTAGAGAAGTGCTATTAAAACACAATCTTGCTACGGCAACAAATGTCATATATTTCCATATCAAATTAATTTAGACTTTAGTTTAGGCATTAACATTCTAAATCCAAACGAGGGTTTACCCCCTGTGCAGAGAAGCTATCTGTACACACAAGAGATCCAAACAACCATTACTGAGTTTAGTTTGTAGCTAAAAAAGACAATTCAAAGTAAAGCAGGGTTCCCTTTGCCTCTTCGAGCAGCACACAGCTGGTTTAGGTGCCTCTCAGCACAAGGACAGAGAACTTCTAAGAGAAAATAAGATATTGGAGCTACACTGGAGGATTTGCAGCTTTTAATTTTCTAGTCTGTTTGCATAATTAATGGCAGCAATTAATCAGTATGCTCCAATCCCTTTCGTTTCCCGGGCCCAATCCCAATTTCCACACTAACGGCTGTCCCTGCTGTCAATTCGTCAACTGCTTTAGGGCCGTCGTGCTGACTTTCTGAGCCCTTATTGCAGGCTTTCTGTAATTCGGCAGCTCTGCAGACTTTGTCTTAAGGTATTACCCACAAGTCATAGCGTTGTGTCAGGGCTACTGGGGAACAACAATCAATGATACGTAAAAAACAGGAAATCAGAATGGAAGGTTAAGAGATTATACACAGCTAGTTTATTCTTTAACCATTTTTAGTTCAACCAAAGCAGTTATCTGCAATAACCTCTCATCACCTCGCAAAGAAAGAACCTGGAAGACGTCCAAAGGCAGGCAGTTGAAAAATCTAAAAGTCCCAAACCCACTATAAGTGTCATCAAGGTAATGTGAAATGTTCCCTCACAGTGCCGTCCCATTTCACTTTATACCATCTGGAGCCCTTGCCGCCTCTTGCACTCTTTACCGATTGACGTCATTTATGTCCCTGAGGGTTCACGGTTTAGGGCCTTAGGGGGGGGGACATTGAGATTGGGCCAACAAATGTGAGAATTGGTGAATGTGCAAAACTAAGAACAAGCGTTTTCGTGGGAATCAGTCCGGCCCACTGAGAGGTTTCAAAAATCAGTTGCAGAGATAAAAGCAAACCAACTGAGAGATACAGTTTTGCACGCAGCCGTTCAATCAGGCGTCCTGAATCACAACATCGCGTGCTATCATTCTGATGTCTTTTCTTTGTTTTCTATATATGGTGGTGTTTCTGTTCTTTCTAGATATGTATCCTTTTTTCTAACGTGGCTTTTTTTGAATAGCTTTACTGTCAAGCCAAACAAAAAGGATCATGTTTCCTCAATTTCAGTGGCATTCCCATTTATTGGTGTGAGCCATGAGAATAGGATGCTGTTTGTCCACACAGCCCTCTGCCGCTATGCAGTCATTCAGGGCCCAGACACACTGCTGCAGCTTATCGTGGACATAAAAATGACTAGAGCAACTTTTCCTCCTTTCCTCCAGACTGAAGCCGGCAGCAAGGTGACGCCGACTATCATCGCAGTCATTACTACCCGCACTGAGCAATGCTTTTCCATTAAGATCATAAAGAGATTATCTTACAACTGACTGCCCAGACGGTTTGCAAGCAAGAGCGTATCTCGTCTGCTTCGGAATTTTCCTCAGGGATCAGTAATAAAACCTTGCTAATTTCCAATTCACCTTTTAAAGATAGCTGCTGCTGCTAATGTCCATTCTGAACTGAGCCTGTGGTGTTGTTTCACTTTTAAAATGAAAAAACTATGTTGGTGGGAGCTCATATATTGTAAGACAAAGAAATCCATGTGTAGGCTAAAATATAGGAAAACACGGTAATTGCAGTTCACCACGTAATTGCTGCTTTATGTTAAATGGAAAATATTAATAACATACACTCGGGTGATTTATTATAAAAATGACTGTGTGATTATACAGAACACCAGGTTGTGACTTTGGAGGAACAGAGGAGGAGAGATATAAAACAGAGGGTACACACAAACATTAATCTGAAAAAGCAATAGGGGATTTAATATCTATAAACTCACCACAGCAATTCCACCGCAAATAATGGAACATATTTAGCAAAGTCCCAGAACAACCACTGAATTGTATTGCACCCAAAGGAACAATGCAACTGTGGGAACCGTTGTGGCAACAATGTGTTCTGTTTCTGCTCTGCTCACAGCTAATTCAGTCTAACTGGCTCTTAAAATGTTTTTCACTAGACAATTTATCATCGACATACTACACATAGCTACGTAATCACCCCTAGCGAACCAGTTAACACTCACTTTTGTTCCTTTATCCCACAATATTTGCAGTGTGAGTCTCATGCTTACCTATACAGACGTCTATCTTGCCCTTGATGGAAGCTTCGTGGAGTGGCGTGTAGTTCCAGTTGTCTCGAGCGTTGGGGTCGGCCCCCTGACACAGCAACAAGGACACCACCTGAAGAAGCATACAGAACGTCAGCAGCATATACTCTTTATTTAGTAAATCACCAAATCCCAGATGCTTTCTCTCCATGGTATTTTTTCACGACTCAGGCAGGTGACAAGGTTTAATCACGATAAGCTAGGGCTGTGTTAGCAATAACTGCCCAGTTACCCTAACATTGTGGGGTTCATTCACTCCCTCTGGATGGAACTTTGGGATTTTTTACTTTGCAGACCATTTACATGCACCAAAAACGATAGAACATACCAAAGGAGAGGGAAAAACCCATAAAGCATAATAGGCCCCTTTAGGCAAAGAGCTAAAGGTTGAAACCTGGCCGCTGCTAATAACTGAACCTTAGAACAAAGAACATTGGCTCTAACCTGCTTCAAATGATATCATCCCATTAAATGACCTTAATCAGTGGTTCTGAGCGTTGGGTATGGGGCATGTTACAGTTACCTTTCAAAATGAGTTATCATCTATTTACATGGTTCCTCACCAACACGAATACAAGTGTGTAGTTTCAACTTGTATTCAAAACTGATCGGGGTTCAGTTTCTGCTCTGATTTAACACCAAGGCGGCTGTTAAACTCAGAATACATCTTGCTCTTACTTGTGTAATAAGATGGCCAGATACTTGTTTCTTCAGGCACTGCTTTTTTTCTCACTTGAAGGGTTTAATCTTCATTTTATAAAAGATTCAACAACTCGAGCAAATGTGTATTTGCTGTGCGAATGCTTTCATTTGGACAGCGTTGACTCTCATCACACAGCTGCATTAGCACAGCTGACAAGGTTGTAAAGTGCTCTCAAAGAACGCTCTAAAAGCCTCTGAAACTATCCAAACTGTAAACATCACACTGATCACCGTGGGTAATGGCCATGAGGGCAAAAATCATTAGCACATATTCAAAAGCATCACCATGCGTCGGCAGAATATCAAAGCAGCAATGACAGTGAATGTTCATATTTTCTCAAAGTCATTTTCAAGGCTGACTGTGCACATCATAGTTTAGAATAATCTTCTGCTCTCATAAAAATAGTGATAGCAGTTTACTCCTACAACCATTTCAGATTTTACCACTTCACAGAATGTTGTGCCCTTAGATCTTTTTATCGCCAGCAATGAATTACATTCTATGAAAGTATAAACTGTCCTTTGTTCCTAGAAGGATAATGGAAGAGTGGTTTCCACCTCTGTGTGCCCTCATGGGGGGTCACACTCCCTCAGACTGCACTCACATGGATGTGTGCATCTTCAGCATGCTTGCTTTCCCAGATTAAAGAGTTTTTATAAAACAGCACTAGCATAATCAAGGTGTAGGAAATGTAAGGGTAAAAATCTATCTGAATGAAGAACAAATAAGTAATTACACATAAAATGATATTGAAGTGACTGTTATTTTGTATATATTGATGGTTGTGTTTTTATCTTAATGTGTGTGTATATGTATAAATGTGTCTGTTGATCATATTTTGTACATATTTGTGTACATAGTTGTATTTTTGTATTCGGGATTGTGGGAAACGGTATTTCGATCTCTCTGTCTGTACACAAACTGAAAGATTGACAATAAAGTTGACTTTGATAAGAAATGTTACATCTTCCATTTTTCCATAATTCAATGCTGTGGAGGGACAAATATATAAAGCTTGGATAGTCAGATGAGGGAAAAAAACATTTTAAAGTGCACCTATCATGCTATTTTTAGGCAATAGCATAGGTCTCAGATATATAAAAATATATAAAAAACATTTAATTGAAGTGTTTTGCTCAAAATACCAAACAGTTTCTGACGCTGCGTGAGTTCCCTGACACACCGGGGACACATGTTTATGTATAAAAGACATCAAAAAGTGCATTTTGCATGATAGGTCCCCTTTAAAGTCAAATCTAAAAGGTTTCCTCTCCCATGATTATGATTTATAAACAGACTATCTTTCTAAGTTCCTTAAAAGATGTAATATCTAAAATATTTGGGTGCATTTATTTTTATTTATGCATTTTACATCTATATGTATATTTGTATAGTGCATTTATTTTTGTACAGACTGCTGACTATTTGCAATCTGGTTAGACCTTCTTAATGTCGTTAAACTCTGCTTGCATTATGTAATGACAATAAAGTAATCTAATCTAATTTGGGGTAAAAGAATGTTTGCCTGATGATGTTTTCTTTCCGTATTTTCATCTGAGATAAGGGGGGAGTACTGTTGACATTTCTGTGTAAAGTCTCACCTCAGAATGGCCGAATGAGCAGGCGTTGTGAAGCGGGATCAGACCCCCATCGTCCCGAGCGTGCACATTGGCGCCCATCTGAAGCAGGTGGTCGACCACATCCCTCCGCCCAAAACCTGAGAAAAGATCAGAGAGAGACGAGAGAGGAGAGAGAAAAGATAGGGAAGAGGGAAGTAGGTGTTAGGCAATTGATCCGTCTTGCCCAGAAAAAACTCATATTGCATATCGATTATTTATGTAGGGTTGAATCCAATCTGCAGCGTTGCAAGAAGAGAGGATCCCAGATATTCTCAAACTCGAAGCAGTCATCTAGGAGCAACACAGCGGAAACAAAACACTGCTGTGTCTGTTTTCAATTGTATTCTCGTATCATTTTAATAATTGATACTAGACTCTCAATTGTCTTCTGGGCTTTTTTTTAATTTTTATACATTTTGTTTATTTGTCATGCAAGGCATCCACGTGGCAGCTGTTTGGGAAAGCGGCTCTCAGCTGAAGCTTGTTATGTCTTCACTACAGACGTGTCACGGGACTCCAGAGTTCTGCTCACTGTTCAAGCTGCTGAGGATTAGGAAGGCCTGAGATCTGAAGCAGCTGTGCGAGTTATTCTGCTTTTATCTTTTTGCCTGCACAGATGAAAGAATTGAAAACAGTCCACCCTGGAGCTGAAACGCTTAAGTCAAGATGAGCACCTTTCATATTAGCCGTGGAACATAAACAAGTACGTTTTAGATTCAAATGAAAAAAATTATATTTTATCTTTAGTCTTTTCTATGTCTTCTTGCTTGTGGCAAAAACAAGAGTGTAGAATACCTTTCGTTTGGTCCTGCATCTCTTAACCCATGAAGCACCTGCCAAATTACTGTGCCGATGCAAAGTTTAACACACAAACTGACATTTCAGCCCTTCCCCGATGTATTTTTCCTTTTTTTTTATATATGTTTTTGAGCCAGAGAGTGCCTTTATTGGAGATGCAGAGTTGGAAGGGGGAGATAGAGGGGATAATATTGCCTGACATGTTCGGTGAGCTCAGGAGTTGAACCTGCTTACTTAACAGGTTCAACTCTATGGGTGTCCAGCTCTAACTACTGAGCTATCCAGCAACACGATTTAAGGTTTATTATTTGGTACATTTCATTCCAAATAGTCTTACTTCTACCAATGCGAAGTGAGTTTTCTAAAAAAGGAACAAAAATAGTTACAGGGCCCTTAATGAAATTGCTCTGCCCACACATAATGTGTGTTGCACCGCCTGTCCTTTTGTTAAGGCTGGGGAAAAAATATCGATTTATGTAAGAATCAAGATGCTTATCTTCTAATTGATTCACAACTTCCAGAAGAAGCTAGATATTTCTATGGATGGACAGTAATCCCACACACCAAGTAAAAGTTGTTTCAAGCTTTTGTTGAATAATCACGCAAAATACCAGTTTTACAGAGTTATTGTGTGTCATTTATTTTTGAAATTGTTACATTTTGGAGAAATCATATTCATTGATATAAGCAAAAGGACTTTTTGTATCAACTGTAACATTATTGTTATCTTTTTTAAAGAAAAGTGTGTTTATTTGTGCAAGTTTGACATGAATATATGTCACATATTATCGTGCCTTTGCATGTTTACATTCATGTAATCAGTTGACCTTTTTAAAAACTCCATAATGTTATACACACTTAACTTGCCCAGCACCTTTAGACCCTGAAATCCACACCTTTAGGTACTCAATCCAGAATTGATTTTTAAATTAACCATGCCATGAACCAACTAATTGTAATCAAATCAATAGATGTTGAATAATTATTAAACTTTATAATTGGCAATTCTAGTATAACTGAGATAAAGGATGCTGGAAATATTTATATCTAGAAGCCCAAGCTACTTTAGCACTATTAATGTATTTATTATAGGGGTAGCCTACCAAGTTTTAATACAGAAAGAGATGGGGGATTCGTTTTTGACAACATAAATACAAAGGGTAATTATCATGTGTTACAATAAATGTTTTAGAATCTTAAAATGTTATTTTTATTTATTGATGCATTTCATATCTTTCTGTTGATTTCTGTTAAGTGATGCCATCCTGAAAACTGTTGTGTAAAACATAGGCTACAACTAGTAGTGTATTGTTTATTAGCTACTTTCTGGTCGCTCCCACGCCCTAAGCATCCTCCCAGCTCCACAAACAGTCAGAGTAAGACTTCAGTTTGTCTAAACAGTGATTTCCGTTACGTTTACCTGCAGCGAAATGTAGGGGTGTAGATTTGCGTCCTGCCATGTCTTTTGCGTTAACATTCAGTGTATCCACGAGTTTCTTCACCCTAGACACATCCCCGTTACGACAGGCTTCAAAAAGGTCCCTGAAAGCGCCGTATGAACCACCGCCGCTGCTGCTGCTGCTGGCCGCGTCACCGCTGCCCGAGTCGGGCGTAGAGCCGGGGCTGGACCCGCTGCCCTCGGTGGTTGTCGGGGAGCTAGCGCTGCTGCTAGTGCTGCTGCTGCTGCTGGCGGAGAGGGCCAGAGCTGGGGAGGCGGTGGGAGATGAAGGGGCTGCCTCCCCGTCAGCCTGGTTGTCCAACGCGGCTCTGCGCGAAAGCGAGGTGGCATCGTCGGTGGGTGCAGCCGGACAGCCAGGAGGGGTTGCGGGGCGAGAGGAGCCGCGGGGCGGGGAGGAAAGCGGGGAGTTCGGCTGCTGCTGCTGAGAGGAGCGACGAGGCGTCGCCATTTTCACAACACAACAGTACCCACTAGCAACAAAAACACTGATGACAATTTCCTGCCCAGGAAAGTCCAACTTCCGCTTGGGTTTACTGGGATTACATTTACTAGGCGGTTTATCCAAAACTATTGAATAAAGCTTTACTAAAATATCAGTAGGCCTACAACTAAATTGGTAACAAAATTACATTATAAAGAATGTAGTTACTTAACCGTCTACACAAATGTAGATTACATTTTGGCCTTTATGTGTTGTATGTGAATAATACAAAATGTATATGCTTTTTTAATCTGGGGGTTTGTATACTTAGATGGGATGTAGCTAAAAGTTAGGCAATTTGCATGTTTTTTCAAATGTAAAGGCCCCAATGAAAAGAATAGATAGCCTATGGGCTTTCATTTCATTTCATTTCAAACCTTTATTTAACCAGATTGGTCCCATTGAGATCATAGATCTCTTTTTCAAGGGAGACCTGCAGCATATAGGTTCCACATGAAACATAAAACAATAAAGGACATCATACATTATATTTACAGGATACATTTACATAGCTATAGACATTTACAAGTACCCATAGTATCAACGAGCATTTCATTTAGCCTAGCTTTAAAAACATGCAGAGGAATGAGATTGCTCAGTTTCAATTCTTGCTGAAGATTGTTCCAAGCAAGTGGAGCTGCGCACATAAAAGCTGTCTTACCTAAGACAGTCCTTGCTCTTGGCACATCTAACAATACTACATCATGCGATCTCAGGCTTAAATGTTACTAAAACTAAACATATTCATTCTAACCTATTAATTTATAATACATTTGCTCTTATATTGGTTTTCATTTGAGTTGTGTTTATGGCTCCATCTGTCAGATGGAACTCATATTATTTTGTTTGTCTGGTTTTCTTTCTTTTTTAACAAAAACTAATAACCTTTCATTTTGTTTAGGAAACATGGCATGCTTGGCATTTTTAACAAAAACTAATAACCTTTCATGTTGTTTAGGAAACATGGCATGCTTGGCATTTTTAACAAAAACTAATAACCTTTCATTTTGTTTAGGAAACATGGCATACTTGGCAGATGGGTTACTACAACATAATGGGGTGTTAGTTTAGCCCATAGACTGTATATATAAAGGGTTTAGCCTAGTAAAATGCAGGGGGACTTTAGTCATGTCAGATGGTTTGTAGAAACTCAACACAACCATCTAGTGGAGAATTGTGGTACTAATTTAAATACAGTATATGATCATGGCATAGAGGAGCTGCAGCAGTTCTTCTGTTAACACAGCAAACACTTTAACATACAAAATAACAATATATTGCTCAAATTGTTGATTACAGTATGTATCAATTTAGACAAAAAAAGGCACTGTAGATGTGATCACGGGCATTTTTTAAAACACACTTAGGCCTACACATTACACAGCAGACTTATACATTATGCAAAATAAGCTTGGTAAATATGTTACCACAGATTTCGAAAAAATATATATAATTGTGCTGGTTTTAATAGTTGTTTTCTTATGTGTGCATTTGAAAAAAGCAGAGGGTAAAATTAGCTTAAAGGAATTTGAATTTGATTGATTGACAGGTGATCTATTACACTCTGCCATGTTGTCACTGTTTTTTTTTTTGCATTGTTCCACCTTAACCCAAGTTACACATCTTTATTCAAATATTTAAGGGTAATGTCCTCATACAATGTTGTACCATAATGTGTAGCCTTATTGAGCTGAATTGCAGAAAGAAACCTGAGCACCAAGAGGAAAACCTACAAAAACATGAGGAAAAATCCAGACACGTAGCTTTGATTTGAGCCAAGGACCTTCTTGCTATAAAGATGCTGGGACTAATAACTCAGACCCTTAAAAACAACATTAAACAGATTTGATCTATTAAAGTAAATCAATCTTTACTATTTTGGTGACACTATATCTACAAAAATGGTCAAGTAAAACATTTAGATTTGAGTTACAAGGAATCGTCTGCACTGCATCAGTATGGATGACAGACAGCACGTATGATTCACCACTTGTGAATGCCGTTTGCAAATAATTGTGAAATGAAAAAAAGATGTGTCATTGTGACATTAAGAAATAAAAACCTGGAGAAAAGTTGAAAGCAAACTGTAAAAACATGTAGTTCTATTTTACAGATACATTATTTAAAATGAAAATAAAGATAAGTTCCGCTTCTTAGAAGAACTTGAACATCTTTGAAAATAGCTTTTTAAGAATTGTTTCAACTAAGTTCAGTTAAGTTACAACATTTCAGACACAAAGGCAGTTCAAAGTCCTTTACACAAGCTTCAACATCAAACTAATTAAACAGAAAACAAGAACAACATAAGAAATACAGTAGATTTAATTAATATGAGAGGTGACGAAATATAAGAATGTGACATCTTTTTAAAGGAAAAACAGTGCCAAACAGAAAGCCCGATTAGTGATAGTGTTTGGGTTGAAGCCAGAAGCTACCACAGGATTTTAAGTGAAATAGATCGGCCATAGCATCAAAAGGTCAATTAGATATGCAATTAAACAGTGTTTGACAATCCTCTGTGTTTTGTAATACCCCCAAGTAAAGTAACATGACATCAGTGATTCAGCATGTAGAAGTGATAAAACAGGACTGTGGTATCAGAGGAAGAGTATGCAAAGTTCCGGTAGGTTGACATACCTCACATACCATCTTCAACTGCTCTCTGTGCCAAAGCTTGAGCCAGGCCTGAAAAACAACTCTCAGAACAAAAACATAAAAAAACAACGCCCTCAGCATGATGTGACTGGAGAGTTTGAATTTGTATGGTTCACTGTGGGAAATTGCATCAACACAAACACAACTTTGCTGGTACGGAAGTCCCTAATAACCAAAGTGCAGTTTCCAGAGTGCTCATGTCTTCCATTTCTTCATGGTGTCAGTCTTTTTAAAAGAAATAAAATATAGTAAACTCTAATATATATTAGAGGGCTTATTTGGGGAAATGGGGTCACATTGGGGTAAAGATCCAATAGACACTAGAATTTCAGAAGTGGTCAATTCAAACAATGTATTATGTGGGAGTATCACAAACTGTTTTCGGGTTGTTTGGTTCTTTTAGAAGCTAAATCACTTTCTATGTGGGGTTGATCAGGTTGATGGCTGTGGGATAGTCACACTCTCAACCTGCTGCTTTCCGGGAGTTTGCCCAATGACTCTGTTCATGTTTTGGGTTTTAGGCCTATTCAGAAAGTCAGAGAAAGGTGAGATAAACAAAGTGTTACCATGAAACTAACAGATGTGCAGATAGATATAGAAGCAGAGAGGAGGAGTTCACAAACTCAAAGACGCCGAAAAGGTATTTGAACAGTTGGTTGCAGAGGATTCCTGCTGAACTGAATTTCTACCAGCCATATGGGCATTTTCCAAACCAAAACCATCGTAATCTCTGAGTATTATGACATGCTTGGACCAAAAAAGGAGAATTTTGTAATGAAGATGATGAGTCAAAATGAGCAGCCTGTGGAGAGCTGAGGCCCCTCTAATAATAAAAGGTAAATAACGTAATATACACACGCAAACAAACATTTAAGTGCTTAAATGTTTCTTGTAATTATATTTCTTACAGTCTCCTCTTTCTTAAATTAATGCATATTAAATGTGTTAATGCGAAAGTATACCTATATGCAGACACATTTTATTGATCACATCATTATTAAATAAGTGTTTTAAATAATAATTAAGGACTACATTTTTAAATACAGTATAAAAACATTTAGGACAAAACTACATTTAGGTGATTTAAAAAAGGGGTATAAAAATAGAAGTTGTATTTTTTTTGTAACTGTCTCCTGGAAAGAGATCTGAATATGTTTCCTGTTCTTTATCTTCTCTTATCACACACATTTGCATCATGATAAAAGCTTCGTCGAAACTCCCCTCTCCCCTTCCTTGCAGTTGCAGGTGCAGATGAGAAGCTGGCCAGCCACACCTGTCCTATTCGGTGACTCGAGGCAGCAGACAGGTAAGCCTGAAGCCCCGCCCACTGCCAGGTTTCAGTCAGACTTGTTTTTAAATAGCAGCTGTTGGAACTGTCAAAACTCAGTCTCTCCTGTGTAAGTTACTACACTGAGTTGGGCAGCAAGAACACACACATCACCAACAACCATGCCGTCGCAGAGAACGCAGGAGTGGATGCGCACATCCCTGCGCACCCCGGGCATCTTGATCTTCGGGATGGTCATGGCTCCCTGCGGATGGATCCTAAACCTGACCGCCACAGTGGCCCCAAACTGGAGGACCCTTAACTCGCTTCCCTCAGAGCCGCCTGATGTTTTCATCCAGCAGGGCATCTGGGAGATCTGCAGGGCCACCACAGTCGAGACGAGGGCGGACTGCACTCTGCAGGACATCGAATATTTCGGGAACCAGGTCATCGAGGTGGCCCAGGGTTTAATGGTGGCCTCCCTCATCGTGACTCTAATCGGGCTGGCAGTGGCCATCCCTGGGGTGCGCTGCTGGACAGACAGGCCTAACTGGTTGCTGGCTGGCCTGGGCGGAATCCTGATCTTCCTCTCCGGGGTCATGACCATCATACCCATCGCCTGGTACACCCACATCCTAAAAGAAGTGTCAACGGTGTCCCCTACCATAGATGTGCGCGTTGGCTACTGCATCATCCTGGGCTACATAGGCGGGATCTTTGAAATCCTGGGGGGCTTCGTTATGTTCATCGGGATCTGCCGGTGCTGCGGAGGGAAGAACCGAGGGGAGAAGCCGGTGGAGCAGGTCACCGGAGCCCGCTTCGCCAGCAGGAGACAGCCGGCGAGAAGAGTCGAAGTGCCGAGCCTGGACCGGGCCCGGAGCGAGGCCAGCAGCGTCCCGTACTCGAAAGACTCCCTGGATGAAGATGTGTCCTTCCCCCGGGCCAAGAGCCCCGCAGCCCGGTCAGCGAACACCTCATACGGCGGCAGGCCTTATGAGGCAGACCTATGAGAAGAAAACACTACAGGAGAGGAACACGACGTAAAATGGACATTAAATAAAGGACTGAGAGTGGGAAACTTTCTAGGAAGATGGTAAACTTTATATTACAAGTAGAGTTTTTAATATTATGGAGTATTGTTACATAAGGCATTATACCAACAGTTATTTTAGGCCATAAAAGAATATGTCAGTGGTGCCAAGAGATTAACACTTTATGAAATCACTGTAAACTCATTAGGTGTAGTCTATACATTGAGTTAGCCACATCATTAGGACAGTAATGGGCTACTTGAAGGCAAACATCTATAATATTGTTAAATGATGTGAGAGTGAGCCAGGGCTAGCAATGAGACCCATAATAGCTGGGTTATGATTTATACTTACATCATGATACTCTGTCTGGAGTGTGCTATAAACAGAGCAGTGCCGGTGGAGATGTGGTGGATATTAGAAGGAAAGTAAAAGGTGAAGAATTCTGTTTTTTTCTGTCTACATTGCCAATTTTTCCCCCTAATGTTTTTATGTAAATACTGTATTCTTATGCACCTTAAGATTATGGCCAACCTTGTAGGACAACAGGCCACCTGTTGAAAAAGAAAGGGGAGCAATATTGTTCTCATTGCTCTGTGATACAAGTGTTGTTTATTAAATGTGCAATGTTTCCTAATAACAGATGACTGAGTATCAACTTATTGTTACTTTACAAGTGTTCAGATTGCATGTGGAGAAAACAAAGACGTTTTTAAAAAATATATAAGGGGAATAACTGTGGTTATAAAGGTGAGGTTACATTTGTTGTCATAGTTTGGCCTGCAATTTCTATTACATGTGGCCAAATTCAAACACACATTCAGAAAGGCTACATTTTACACAGATACTTTCTTTTCTTCATACGTACAGATAGAATGTTTCCTGACCGGTCGGAGAGGTTTGTTTCTTTCAACATCTTGTCTAACAGCATTTCTTGTTTAAACTGGATTTGCACAAGGCGACGCTGTAGTGAACAATTGCCTCTCTATATCTCCTGGCCGTTCAGTCTTTTGTTGTTAAAATGGCCTCCAAGTAATCATGATGCAGACTCCCAGCTGGACCTGTTGAATGCCCCAGTTAGATATAGAGTAAGTCACTTTTTTTAATGCAAAGTTTAGCAGTATTCTGTCTGAGGCTCACACACTGGGACAAGTCACTGACAGTGCCATAAAGCAGACCTACAGCAGACCAACACAAAATATTTGTGTTGTGTTTCATATTAGTGTCCATAAAATTGCAAAGAATGCCGTGACTCATAAATTGACAATCGGAGTATAGCTGGGGTGAGGAGAGATGGTGTTTGGGTGTGACAAATGGCATCAGTTTGAATTTATAGCCTCATTCTCCTGAGATGCTGAAGAGGTTTTTTTTTTAAAGTTTTATAATAGCTTTAAACCTCCATGAAGGAGACTCAAATACGGGAATTTAATGATCCTGACTTAACTTTCTAGTATGGGTCCAGCTTCACAATGCTCATTCCCATATTTACCATTTTGTAACCAAATCCAGCTTCACATTACACTCAAACTTAAATGGCACATGTCACATCGTAACGCAGGCACAAAGGTTGCACTCTCTAAAACAAAGCCAAAATACCTCCAGTATCATCATCAAGGTGACCTCAGGCTATTTCTTTGTTGCACATATAACCTCGTAAGCTTAAGGACCTTCCTGTAGTTGTGATTGAGGATCTTTGAAAAACCTTTGTTTGACTGCTTTACGTTGTCATAGAATGCTACCTCCTCATTCCCCTTAACCGTCCAGTAGGGGCCGCTATAGGTTAAAAACAAACCTTACCTATAGCCAAAGTAGGTAAGTAGGCTACTTGCTCAAAAACAATTGCTAAGAAGTATTCTGAAAGGAACAATTGAGTGACCTTCGATTATTTTTTGTTTGTTTTTTAAAATTGTATAAGACTTCAGAAAGCTCCTCCACAGTCACAGATAACATGACTATTTTCACAGACATCACAGGATATTAAACCTAACCTTGTGCATGTAATCAGTTCCCCTTTAATAATACAGCACCAACTTAAAATGCTACTGTAGGTTGCCCCTCCTGAAAAACAAACATGCAAAGTTTTCTCATTAAAATGAACACATGTGTTGACATAGTGTCACCCTCGTGGCAGATCCTTCCTGTTCCTTCACATCACAGACACATATTATATCTGATAACAAAGACTGAAGTGCATGATAACAGATCAGTCCTTCCTGGTCCAGTTAAGTTTAGTAAACACTGAGGCTGATACAATCATGTTACAAGATCCCAGAAAGACTGCAGAGAGGCAGCGGTGCATGTTTTGATGTACAAACAGACTGGCTGCTGTCTGTAGTCAGTGGTAAAACACATTGAAACCCTAAAAGTTACGTAAGGATTTCAAAGATACTTACAGTCTGTCAAGCTGAAACAAAGTGTTGAAATAAACTACTAGCTATTGTCTCACAGCTGCACATCATTTGTCATAATAAAATAGTTGTATCTTTAACTTCCTAGCAAGATTATAACTTTTCCTCTTCATTTGACCACTTTATCCAAAGTGATCAATTATAATTACAATAAGTTCAAATTCAGTCCTGCAAGAATCTGTATGAAATGTCGTGTTAACTTCAGAAATAAGAAGTGTCGTTTGATTTAATTAGATTTAATTGGCCAGGGTTAAGTCAAAAACAGGTCGACTTTGTTTACTTCTGTAACATAATGACGTCACACTCACGCTTGTATTGGATAGCACTCCAACACATTACACGTGATATGTTAAGGGGTGGGACCTCTCTAAGCAGTTGACCAATCACAACAGAGCCAGCCAGCTAACCAATCAGATCAGACTGGGCTCTGGTTTCAGACAGAGGGTGAAAAGAGGTGCTGCAGCACAGGCAGTATGAGAAAAATAAAGAGCTTTTTGAACATTAAAGCATGGAAACATGTCATAGTAGAGGCACAAAATACAAATATGAATGGAAAATTATCAGAAAAGGGACCCTTTTAACAAATCTTTGATATTTTAAATAAAACATTGATATGTTGTGAGTTTTTGTACATTTTATTTGAAAGTTGGTGAACATACAGCAAAATACATACAGAACAAAAAGTGTATGTGCAGTAAAGATATGATATACATGCCAGTGAAATAGTTAATTAGGGGTACTGAGTCATAAATCAGTTAACCACAGATCAGCTTGCATAGCTACAGAGCCAATATGATCCCCATTATATGACATCAGGACAGCAGAAAGCTTACACATCTTCCGGTGCAGACTGACAACTCATCTCTTTCGACTCCACTTCGAGCAATAAAATGAAAAAAAAAACCCCGCACTTAGATACTAACTAAGCACTTACATACTAACAAAGCACTTATATACTAACAAAGGACTGGCTTATCTAAAGCCTGTTGAGTATCACTTGAAATGGTTTGGCTCTATGAAACCTGATGTACTTATATGATTCTGTTTTCTTCAAGTTAGTATTCTTCTTGGTCAAATGCACTTATTGTAAGTCGCTTTGGATAAAAGCGTCAGCTAAACGAAATGTAATGTAACATACAAACTAAGTAAATATCAGTTGCACATACATATTCTGCACATATCAGCAGTAGTGATATTAATAAAAGCAACACAAAATAAACACAACAAACTATTATTACAGAATAATACAAGTGAAAAGACAAGATATATCAGGCTTTTATTTTAAACTGTCAGTGTCAAACATTTATGACAAGAGAAGAATTTTAAAATGAAGTAAAACAGGATCTGAGGAGGTGTGCGCACAAGTTTCAGTTTCAGGTTATTGGCATAGTATATTCACCTTTCAAAAGGACTCCTCTTGATCAGTACACTTAAAAGGCACTTTTTCTCCAGCTTTTGTGTTTAGTAGAGTGGAAAATCAGCAATAAAATCCTTAGTTTTGGTGGTTTACTGCAGATTTGTTGTGCAAATATTTTAAAATGTTTCCATCTCTTAAATAAATGAGGCATAAATATTTCAAATAGATATATCAAAAGAGTTTACCTTTGTCGTTCTGACCAATAACTTCTGACAGAGAAGAATTACATACTTTTCAGCCAGTTTTGTACACACACAGGGGCACACATGATTACATAATCACCTTCTATGAGCATATCAGCTTGTTGAAACATGTCTGACTACATGGAATTGTTGTGTAATCCAGCAACACAAAAACAGAGGGATAGACAATATCATAAAGTGTTGGGTATTGTTGATGCTATAGGCTGTCAAGAACTACAAAAAGCATATAAAACATTAATTCAATCAGCAGTGTAGGAAAAAAATAGACAATACAGCATAAAAAGCTCTTAACACTGGCTATCTTACTCAGAGTGACTAAAATAAACGACAAATCCAATCGGGTTAATATCCCCGTCTTACCCTGTGTGAAATTGATTGCTGAGGAAAGCATTTTTGTTTTTAATACCAGTAAAAAGTCACTCCTTTTAGCAGATAGTACAAAAACAGGCCAGCAAGAATCACTACTGTTGGGCTCAGCTTTCTCTGCATTTAAAAAGAAGCAACTGCTGCGTCAGAGAGCAACTGATTTGCATTATTTTACCTGATGTAGCCAGTGTTAGAGGACACAATAGGAAATGGAAATAAGCTATATGAAATGTGATTAGGGAAGTACAAATGTGTGGTAAGCAGATTGTGACATTTCTATTTAAACTGCCAAAGACACGATCATTTAGTCTGTTCATTTCTTGCAATGTGAAAAATGCAATCAGTGTGTGAAAACTACTATTACACCAAAATGGTTGCATGTAATGTTGTGATTAATGGTTAGGATTTTGTATTATGTTTAATCATTGTTCTTGAGCACTAGTGAGCCACAGTATCTCATCAAAATTCTATAAATATTCAAACAAACCTACAAAGCTGGTGATGAATGCAGGGCCCTAGCAAGGACATCTCAAACATTGTATTGTGCTTGTAAGAAAATAATAGTAGTGTCAACCTAATTCTCAGAGATATAGAAAACAGTTTAAAAAGGTGGCTGCTGTGTTTGCAAGGAACATTTTTAATGGCCCAAATCCAGTTTGGCGCCAAATACATACCTGTAAACATACTGTTAGTCAGTCTCCTGTTGCCTTTCTAAATGAACAGCTTGAAAGCTCTTTGATACACGCTGGCTTTTTGACATGATTGACTTGCCTGTCGTCGTCAAATGATACACGGGAAACAAAGCAGTGAAGTTGTGTCTCTGTCAATCCTTTTAAAGTTCAGTTCAATATTTCAGTATTTGGGTTTCTTTGATGTTGCAGCATCAGTCGTAGAAGAGGGGCCACCAGTCATCAAGAAAGAATGGTGGATCTGATCTGTCCTTTTTTTACTAAATTCAACAAATTGCGCTGTAAGCGTGCTGCAGAAGAATGCTGGTGGAAGCTCAAGCGTATCACTGGCCACAATGCCATGTTTGACCTGGATAAGAACAGCAGAGTTATTATTGTTGTGATCATTTATCCTGTTTTTTCTTTTCAGTCTCATTCAATGTAAAAAAAAAAAACACATTTAGACACAAATGGTGTGAGGTTAAGGTACCCTGTGGTGTTTTGACCAATAGCAGCACTACAGAGCATTTTTGCTTGACGTGGGTACATTAAGATAACCAACAAATTGCAAATAAAAGGCAGCAAATATGAAGTCAGTTTAAAAAAATGATATTGAAATTAAAGGAAGATACTTTAGTAGACTTAAATCCTCTACTACAATTTGGTAATCGCACACAAATACTGAATATTTCCTTCTGAACACTTACCTCGGAGATAATGGAGATTCATCCAAATTACACAGCGATGTTGTAGCCTTGTTTTGCTGCCTGTTGTTTCCTATTAGACAAAAAAACCAAAATGAGTAAGTCTTGCTTATGATGTAAAGTAAACACACAGCACATACAACAAATTCACTTCGGGTGTTTTGAAAAGCTGCTTTGTTTCTGATCAATCATTTTTGCTAAATTGCGACACATGCAACACAATATCCTGCTTTTCAGTGTACTTACACAGTGGGGACAAAACCTGCCTATCAAACATTGGGCAAGACTGACATTCTTAAGAATCTATGGAATAAATTACAACAGGATTGTTTGGTCATTATTTTGGAGTGTTTTGGAGATGGAGATAAATCATGGGTCAAAATTGACCCGCGAACACCATGAACGGTAACAGCTTTCGAACACAACACAAGGGTTAAAGATGAATATGACATGTTGTTCACACTGACTTTGATTGCTTACCATGTCACTGGACTCTAATCTTCAAAATGAATGTTTATTTTATGTGTGATAATGTACACAATTTTAGTATGGATAATATGTCACTTTATTTCATTCAACATGTATTATTAATTACTGTGTGTATGTAAATGTGTTGGACAATTGCAGGACTATTTGTTTTATTTCTGACTCGGATGATAAACCAGGCCTGTCATAAAATAGTTGTAGGACTAGTACCAATGAATGGAGCAAGTTTCATGAATGTGACACTTTTATTATGTAAGATACAGTAGCAAGGGGTGCAAACGTGGCAAAAATATGCTGACAAAGACTATGTAACATTTGTAAACATATATTTTGATTATTATATGACAAATATGTAAAATTAAACAATACATTTTAAAGGACGTGTATACAGACATGACGTAACAATAATAATTGAAAAAAAAAAAGATTAAAAAAAAAGAAAATTGAAAAGGAAGTGACGAATGAATTTCGAATGAATTTCGACACCACTACTACTATACGGAGCGAAAAGTTTAACCACAAGAATCAAGACTATATCAAGCTACCACTAAACAACTCACAGTCTGAAAATTACCATTAATAAAAACCCTGAACGTTTACTTTTCGTTTTAAACATCGTTTTAAGGTGTAAACCATAGACTGTATATATAAACGTGTCATTTAGAAATGCGCGTTCCCGTGACAAGGGGGGCATTTCATGATGGGGGTGCATAATTTGACACAACACCGGCATCTAGTGGCAACTTCCGTTCAGCAGCGGCAGGTGCCTTGGCAAGAAGTCGCATCTATTTATTTTTAGCAAAACATAATTTCAACTTCAGTTTAACATATAAGAAGCAGAAAGGAGGTGTTAGGGAAGAGCTTCAGAAGTTGTTGTTTACTTCAAAGCCAGGCTAGCTGTGCCTCTGCTTGCAGTCTTTATGCTAAGCTAGGCGAACAACACCCCGACTCAAGCTACTTTTTTAAGGTAAAATAATTCTTATCAAACATTTTTTACCAAAAGGTTAACATTGTCCCTTAAGAACAACATATTTCAGTACCTGTTCCTCTTCTTCTGCTTCTGGCTTATCTTGGCAACGAAGAAAGCCACCATGAGCACCCCGAAGATGACGGCCAGCACGCTGAGGGTCAGCGGGAGGCTCAGCGCCCCGTTGACCGTGTCCTCGCAGGCCTCGCCCTGGTAGCCCAGGTCGCAGCTGCACACGAACCCGGTGCCGCCCCCCGGTTCACTCAGACAGGAACCGTGGTCGCTGCATCGAATCTCTCCACATGTCGGCAGGCTGAGGTCGATGCCTCCCGGTTGGGGAAGAAGGAAGGAAGTCATGGTGGAGGTATGGCAGGTAGACGGGGATCCCTGGGCTGCTGAGGGAGGCAGTGATGTATAGAGAGTGAGAGGGAATTAATGAAAGGAGACCACACCCAAATCACAATAGGTTAACAGGACAAAGAGAAAAGTATTTTCTATAAGATGGATGTCCTCAGGGGCTAGGTCAAACATGTGTGCAAATACTTTTGTTTGCCTTCCTTCAAGTCTGTTTAACTTTGGCTAAGGTTCATGAAAAAATGAGATACTTTCTCTGTGTAAACATTTACTTTTTCGTGCGAACGACAAAGTATATATTTTTGTATATGAACCTGTAGGGGCTCCGTACTGCTGCACTGCAACATTCATTAAATCAAATTATCCCAGCCACAAGTGATCCTTCCTTTGTGGAATTCACCATATTATTTTCTATCTATCGTTGTCCCCTTCTCCAACTTTGGTGCAATCCACCTTCCATACAGATAAGTGGCTGTGGTGATGTGGTTGTGCTCATACTAATATTTTAAAGGTCCCATGACATGGCCATTTCTACTGATCATAATTCTATTGGTTAGGTCTACTAGAATAGATTTACATTGTGCAATTTTCCAAACTTACATTGGTTTCTCATACAGCATCTCTGTATAGTATGTGTATTACATTATTATGTATGTGTTACAATGACATTTGTTAGCAACCAGAAAATGACACCAGTAATAACAAACAGAAGAGAATGCTGCGTGGGGTCTGGGTGCCGTGTTGGCAGGACGTTGCGAGGCTCGCTGCTGCAAGGAGCGGACAGTGTGAGCTGGCGTGGCTACTGGTGTGGTTTCCTGGTCGGCGAGACACAGCGAAACCCAGCCCTAAACCAGCCCGAGCACACACACACACCCGCAGCCTGGCTGTGAGTCTGTGTGTGTGTGCTCACACACCCGCAGCCTTGCTGTGAGTCTGTGTGTGTGTGCTCACACACCCGCAGCCTGGCTGTGAGTCTGTGTGTGTGCTCACACACAGACTCACAGTCTCGCCGCGTCCCGCCGTCCCAGGCTGAGAAATCCGCGGAGCTGCAGCTGAGAAAAGATTGTGTGTGTGTAAGGAAGTCCGGGATTGGTCCATTTGGACCAATCCGGACTTAACGTAACGGCTCCGCGGATTGATCCATTTGGACCAATTGGGTATGGTCACGTCACTGTACCCAGATCACGTCACTGTACCCAGGAAAAAAAAGAGAAATCTCCAACGAGGCGTTCTGGGGCAGCATAGACAGGTATTTTCTGTGTTAGAGTTTTACTCGCTACAGGGTGTACTTTGAGGGTTTTTGACTCTGCAGACCGTTTACATGCAGAAAAAGCTACATAACACACAAGGGGACAGGTAATAACCGGAAACGCATGTCATGGGACCTTTAAGATTCTTCTGACTTCAGGTTCTCAATGGAAATACTGTAATTTATTGCTATGCACACTTTAAAAAATGGGTAAACGTTTTTGACAGGCACAAACAGGATTTTCTACAATCCCAAGAAAGCATTAAGGGCTACAAGGTATGTGATCTTAAATTAAAATCGATCCCATTCTAATTCCAGACTTTATCTTTAGAATTCGCCAAAACATACATATTTAATAAGTTATGTTAGTTCATTTTTTATATATAAAACAAAACCAAAGTGCAAAAAGTAGTAAATATGAAAATGTCCACTATGGAACATATGGATTTTGAGTGAGACTACCAGGCACATACCCAGGGGCTCAAAGTGTCAGGATGTCACCTGGCATTTATCTACAAAATGTCACTCAACGAGACATCGTACCAGGCAGGAAGACACTCAAGATGACCACAAATAAATGGTAAGAAATTACTAAAAAGAGATGCAAAAAAATGACAAAGAGGTACAAAAACACTAGTCAAAGGTAGAAGCAAAGCAAAACAAAAGAAAGGACAACAACTATTAAAAAATGACAACTACAAAGAGACACAACTTGACCATAACGACACACAATATAAATATAAAAATACATTAAACAACTACAAAGTAAGTTGATTCCCATGGCTAAACAATTATGGAGTCAGTGTCTCGCTTCTTTGTAGGAGGTGTTGTGTAGCGTCTCACCCTCAGACATATTTTACTTTTAAATGATCACATACAAATGACCAAATAGGCCTAACAGCATAACACTGCAGGAAGTGTAAGAAACTATAATAATTGTTCACCTTGCCTTGAAGCAAAATAAAACACTTTTTGCAGTTATTCTTTCCCGAGACACACAAGGAAGTACTCCTTGAAGCTACCCCAGTTGTTTCTTCGTCAACAACAGAGAAACAACCCTAAAGGGGGACTGACCCCGCCTGAGTCTTTTTTTTTAATTGATCAACTCCTATCAAAGAAACATCAACCTTATCCAAAGAACAGAATACATGCAGGTTAAAGGGCACTGTGATTCACCACAAAGCATTTAATGAATCTGTGCAAAACACATTCACTACTGGATGAATACAAAGATAAAAGTAGGTTAGCATGCCTGCTACACTATGACGCTTTTCTAGAGAGGCTGGAGATAGTGTTGCATCACAGCCGCCTAAAGCATTCAGACTACTGTTGGAAAAGGTACTTCAAAGATTTAAGAGACAAGACTGACCATTATCAAATAATTTATTCTACTTTTCAAGCATGTCGTTCATCAGGTTTCCCCACCAGCACTGCAAGATGGTACCACACAGTGACTTCGGGAATAAGCATACAGTAAAGTTAAACCACATTTTTAAATATGACAAAAATGAAATACGTCTACTCACCGAAGGAAAGAAAGCTAGCAGATTCTCTGTGTGTGAGCTAAAGGTCCTGGGTCTTTGAAAAATGATTTCCTCTCTCAGTGAGGGAATGTGCAACAATAGGAAGGAGGGAAGAGGAAGAAAGCTGAGACCTGTGAATACCTGCAAACACACACAATCTCATACTCCGCCCCTTTATCTTATGTTTAAATGGGGTTGAGTCATATACTGTACACACACTCTTGCTCACACCAAATATCCCTGCCATCTATGTAGCAACTCTACATTTCACAAGGAGAATTCAAACTAATCTTATGCTTCAGTTAATAGCTGACTCACACTGACTCACAACACACAATGCTCAGGCATCCCTGGGAAAAATAAAATGCATTTGCATGGCACCTACAGCATTCTAAATAACAATTTACAAGACATTTTGAATAATTTGAAGCAGGGCATTGATTTTATGATATGTGTCATTCTTCTTGGGAATAGGATGCTGAATAACTCGCGTACACCCTTTCTGTACCTGAGAACTATTTCTTACTGAATTACAGTGGTTGCGTTTGCTATTTAAGTGGGGGAGGGAAAGGAGAGAATGCAGGTTGGAACAAGAAAGACAGACAGGAATTGACAACTCACATGTCTGTGCATGTCTGAGGTTTATGTAGCGTTGAACGGCTAGCCTTAACTCTCGGATATCTTTAGACATTTTGTAATTACTTACAGTTAATGCATTTTATTACTGTAACTGATCTATTGCCGGCTCATACCAAACACAAGTCAGTCAGCAGCAAGAGTCCCAGGCATTGTCTTGTGACTGAAACATGGCTGTGTGTACTCTGCTCAGCGGCCCGTGGTTTTGTTGCCAAGCGCATGCATGTCCTCTGAGCACCGTCAAATATATACACTCCAGTTCTTTTCATTTCTCCAATTAAGAAACTTACCGAAAGACAGGTTTTTCAGCAGTTCTCACATCAGAGAATTGTTTTCTTGAGGAAGCTCAGTGCAGTGTTGTATAAAGGTGGTTCAGGCAAGTGATCATAATCTCCTGAAGCTTTCCTGCAAAGCTTGGTGGTGGCCACTAGGCAGATCAGACATGCCCGAGGGATTGATATTCAATATACCTGGGAACGCCCTGGGAGGACCTGTATGTCAAAGGTCTAAGTAGATCTAAGTGTTTATTAATGCCAACAGCTTTAATTCATAAGCTCAAAGATGTTTATTTAACCCTCCTATTGTCTTCGTTTCCCCCCCACCCTTACTTTGGTGTTCGTGGTCAAATTTGACCGGTCCTGTTTTAACTGCTATTACATAAACAGAAAAACCATTAATCACCAAATTTCATTTAACACCCTTTCAAACTGTAAATATTGTATCAGACTACTGGTATACATGAAAAACTGCAGTAAATATACAAAGAATAGACACTGAACATGTATTGCATGTGCCAGGTGTGATCCATCTGGGGGGATGGGCACATAAGAGCGGGACATGTGTCAAATTGTTCTGTGTGTGTTTGTGAGTGCCAGGTGTGATTCACATGGGGGGGATTGGGCACATAAGGGGGGGGAGGCATCTAGATTGTGTGTGTATGTGTGTGGGTGTTGTGTGTGTTTTATCTGATCTGGATGGTTACTAATTCCTTTTCTTTATGGCGGTCATGTTTGACCGGGAACACCATGGGTGTTTCAAAGTTGACTAAATCATCCAAAATTCAATGAAAGTGGTGATCAGCAATTGTATATGTTCAAATGTCTACTGTGAAGGATATCATAAAGCCTTAATGCAATCGAATGTAAAACAAAAAAGTTATGATTGATGAAAGTAGTAAATCGGTCAGATTTGACCCGAAGACAACAGGAGGGTTAAATGAATATCGTTACATCACTAGCGCCAAATTAGGTAACAATGACTGAGTCAATGCCCCACTAATGATCGATAAATGCTAAATAGTGGGAATTAAAGTAACGTTTTCCTTATGCATTGCAGACATGTATAATAGTTAACACTGTTACTTTGATCAAAATAACACCTTGTGACTTTTTAAATCACAGTGGAAGTAGTAATTTTGATAGCAGATGAAACATACACGCCCATGTTCTGACTCTCCTGATAGAGTTTGGCAAGAGGAAGTACGAAAACAAAAAGATCTTTCATAGCAAATATGTTTCTCTGGAACCATGAATAGGTGACAAAGGGAAACAAAATGTCACGAGGAAGCATTTGGTTGAAACTGGTATCAGATTACATAAGGGCTCACAGGTACCGCGGTGACAACGTTTTGGCAGCAGACACTGAAAGACCTGTGATGATTGCAGTCACACGAGACACTAAGAAAACAATAAACATTGTTAATAAACATGAGCATTGTTAGCATAGCACCGTTATGATGACGCTTCACATGAAACTGAAGTTACCTACTGTAACTCCAGTTTCTATGAGTATTGGCGTAGCCCTCTAAGGCTATCGCTATTGGGTAATCTCCCTGCGCAGCACTGAAACACTTGTAGTCCACGCCCGCCCGCAAGGTGGGCCCCACCCTCGGGCTCCCTTCCGGTATAAATAGGAAGGAGGCCCGACAATCTGCTCCCATACAAAATAACTTTTCTTCAGCTATTCGTGGAGCCAGTGGGGCCCAGCACTTAGAGGGCTACGCCAATACTCATAGAAGCTGGAGTTACAGTAGGTAACTTCAGTTCTATTTCGTATATGGCTTCGCCCTCTAAGGCTATCGCTATTGGGTTAAGGGCGAAGCAAGATGTAGTCTGCGCCCCACTGGGTCCGCCCGGTACTAGAAGCACAGACACACCTGCTCAGATAACAACCCATGCCCTTTGCACCATGCGAATGGCGCATCACAGTCCCTGGAATATAGCATAACATGAATATTTTCCATGAGGGGACGAGGCTGGGAATAATACATACCTGCCGCTGTGAAAAAGTAGAGACGAAGGTCACACTTTGCCCGGTGACAGAAAGGAGGGGGAATAGCAGCTCTCTGCGTGTAGATAGACAGGCAGGAGAGCGCACAGCTGTGTCCCCAACATCACTCACTCTGACAAGACATTCCGTACGAAATGTGTCAGGGGAAAAAGGGGGGAAATACAGGCCACTCTCCGTGTGCCGAGAGGCAGGAGAGAGGCGCACAGCTGGATCCCTGACGTCACTCACTCTGACAGGACACTCAGCACAGGGAAAGGGAGACATCCCTCAAATACAATTGAATAAATGAACAGGGGGGGGAAGACCAAGATGCAGCAGTGCAAATGTCTTCCACTGACATTCCTCCGTGCAAAGCCGTGGAGGAGGAAAAATTCCTCTGGTTGTAGCGTTTCAGAAGTTGGTAGCAACATATTGAGCATTCTTTACAAGAGTTGCACTGTTTGTTTAAAACCTCTGTCTCTTCTTCCTCACAACCAGAGCAAATTCTTACTCTGTACTCTTCAAGTGCAGACATTTTAAGCCGTGGCCACTGGGCTGCCAGACACTTCAACTCAGACTGCAAATTTGCAGCAGTTGCCCTGCTGTCAAACTTAAGCAAGTATTTGCTTAGATCTTGAAATGTAGAGTCAGGCAGAGCTTCTGCTGAACACACTTGGGGAAAGTTTCTTGGATCAAGGACAGCCAAGTCAGCATACAGAGTGCTGTGGGTCATGAAGCGTCGCTTGATACTGTCTGTGACAGTATCCAGGACCTGGTTATGGACCTCTACTTCATAGGCCCTGTTTGCATCTGTCAATCTCTCATCACTTGCCATTTCGCCAGCCATCATCTTCCTTTTCCTGTTCCTCTTCAGTGGAAGTGTTGTTTCCAACTCAAGCTCACAGTCCTCTTCTGCCTCGAGTTTTGCATTTGCCCACTCAACAAAAGTATCAGCAGCTGTCTTCACTGTCATGAAATCTCTTGTCATGTTCATCAGTGCATGTTGAGTGTCCAGAACCATCCTGTGGGCAGACACGATATCTAGTCCACATGTCTGCAAGTATTTTGAAAGAGGTGTTGTCACTTCAAAAATCCGAAGGAAAAGCTGGGCAGTCAACACTGTCTCGTACCTCAGGAGCGCCTCTAGGAATCCTCTTGCTCTGACACACACACTGCAGTTTTCAAATTGGCCTGACTTTGAAATTCACTTAGTGTCATGATGACATCAATGTACAGAGCCTGGTCTGGCTTTCCAAATGAGCCAAAGATCTTCTTCAAGGCTACATCTTTAGCCCACCACCGTGTCTCTCCAATTGGGGAGAGGCGTCTGTGTCGAGTGTCCTGGCTTTTATGCTCCCACACATTCATTCTTTTATATGACTCACGAATGAACACAGCAATGTCATTCATGAGGGAGAAAAGGGACCCACTAGATATGGACACTTCAGTTGTATCAGACAGAACGAGGTTTAGCACATGTGCATAGCACCAAACATGTACATGGTTTGGGACTTTGGATGACAGGAGTGCGGAGAAGCCTCGATATTGACCCTGCATGTTGGACGCACCATCTGTTGCATTACTGATATCCAAATCAAAACGATCCATTACATCTGTCAGCATCTGGACAAAATATTGGCCAGTGGATGCTTCACATTTGACCACTGCCAGAAGCCTTTCCTGGACAGTGTCTGTGACGTATCTCAGAATCACAGAACACTGCTCATGGGACGTAATGTCCTGGGTTGTATCTATTTGTACAGAAAACATACCACTTTCAGCAACCTCTTTTGCAATGGTCTCCTGAATTAGCCTCTGTACTGTGGAAATTACGTTGTTTACAGTTGTTTTGGACAGGAATGTTACAGCAGAACCCCGACCTATAGCCTGTGAGTGTGACTGGTGCATCTTCTTACTTTTTTCTGTGCACTCAGTGAGATGTTCTTTCAGACACACATCATATTTTCCAAGAAAAATGATGAGCTCTAGAAAATTCCCATGGTCAATGTTGTCATCATCTAGAGCAGGGGTGGGTATTTTACGGCCCGCGGGCCACATCCGGCCCCTTGGCCGGCCCGTGTGAGGTTGATCATAAATTATAACATAATAAAAAAAAACAGCAACCTTTTCAAAATAAAAGCAACACAGCTGTATTGCTTGCATGGCATAAATACTTTTCTAACTGTGTTGCTTTTATTTTGAAAAGGGCGCTGCTGTTTTTTTAATTTATTTACATAAACGCGCAT